ATATATATATTGTATGAGGTGGTCTGGAACTAGACTTGCAATACCTGAGGGATGTCTGTACACAAGGCACAAGACTCCATCACTTTTAGCCACAGACTATCTTTGAGCTTTGGATCTGTGAGCTTTACCAAAAATTTTTCAGAAGGGAGTCTAAGGTAGCCTGGCTCCATATTCCTGTGAAGGCTGTTTTCTCTGCTGAAGTTCCTATATCTAGGTTCTGTGACGGTTGTGATTTCTGCTGCAGGTGTTTGAACGTCATTTTGTGGTTGGGATTCTGGGCCGTACAGCTGAACGTCTGTCTGTCACGAATCTACCTTGCGGCTCACTTTCCCCATCAAGTTGTGGCTGGAGTTTTATCAGGTATTCCCTGCTCCAACTCTTCTCCCCACCCTCCTGCTTCTCCCTAGGGGCAAAATCCCAGTATTCCAGTCATGGTTTTGGTCGTCTTTTTTTCACATAATCAATGCTGTTAGCTTTTCAGTAGATTGAAAGCCAAGGGACCACTATTTGAAACAATTCATTTTTTACAGATGTGGCCAAATTTGCATAAGTATATCCTCAAATATATAATGCATCTAATTAATTTACACAACTGAATTTAACTTGCAAATCTAAGCTTTCTACATCTTTTCCTTTTTTACTGATTTTCCACTGCAAGTAGCCTCCAATTTAGTTGTAAGGTTATCTACCAAAGTTAACAACATAATACAAACATCCTAGGTAAACTTTTGTCCCAGAAAATACATTCATTTGCAAACCTACAGTTGATCTCTTTATGAATTCAAAGTCTTGAATGTCAGTGTTTTCTTAGATACAGTAATTAGGGCAAAGAAATGACTTAAGTGTAAGAAACAGTTTCTCAATTTTGGGAGATGCCCAGAAATATATGACTTCAGGGGAATGATGGATTTGCTTTCCATGGAGATCAAGAAGCGTTCAAAGAAGAATGTTGAGACAAGGGAGAAAATAGTCTCGTGGAGTTCACAAAAATAATCCTGCATTTAGTCTTAGGTGTGAAGAAGCCTTAGCGGCCCAGTGACTAAACGGTTGACTGCTAACAGAAAAGTCTACAGTTCGAATTCACCATGAGAAAGAGATGACAATCTGCTTCTGTAAGGATTGTGGTTGTTGTTTTCATGTGCCATCAAGTTGGAAGCACAGCTGATCCTTCAGTGAGTTTTCAGAGGCTGTAAAATGCACAGGAGAAGATGGTCCATCTTTCTTCTGAGAAGCAAACTTGGAAATCCTATGGGATTTCTATGAGTCAGAATAGACTTCATGGCAATGGGTCTGGTTTGTAAGAAGAATCTGGAAGCCGTGTCAAGGAGCCCTGGCAGCACAGAACTGAATGTGTAGAGCTGCTAACTGATAAGTCAGCAGTTTGAATCCACCTACTGTACCACTGGGGGCGATATGTGTTGCCTCCTCTCATAAAGACTTACAGAAGGCCTCCTTGAGCTGCAATAGCTTATATAGCGCTGGGTATTTTTGAAAGTCACCTCGTGGGGAAGGTTGAAAGTTGAAATTAGTGACAGGAATGTCTATCATCAAACACGTGAGAGATGGACCAAAATGGGCCACTTATCATTAACTTCTGCAGAGAGAACTTAGGCCAATAAATGGCATGTAAGATGTGGCAGCAGATTTCAGCCCAGCATACGGAAGAACTATTAAACAACAAAATCCATTTAAAATTAAATGGGCTGCCCAACAGACATAAAGGGGGCTCTTGTGGTGGAGTCCATGGGGAGCTGTGCTCCCTGATGGATCCAATCCATTCGAGGCTGCTCAGGAAAATGATGTGTCATCTTCTCCTTCAAACCCCACTGAGAGCCAGCTCTAAGTTGGTTCTGACTCAAGGCAATGGGATGAGAAAATAGGCATCAACTGTTCACCCCTCGTGGTATTTAAGTAGATATAGGAGGACCTCCCACCCCTTCAGGAAATGCACAGGTGATGAGAAGACATGACCTTCTATCTTAGAGTTTAAGGTTGAGGACAGACTGAAGTCATACATGGGAATAAACCAGGTTACCTCTGACTTCATAATTGTAGTAATTCTATAATAGCAAGAAGAGTGAATGGCATGTCTTCTGTTACTGCAAACTCACTTCTAGCTGAAGGTCCAGAATGACACGTCATTCTTTTTTCCACACAGGCATCGCTGTTGCTGAAACCTTCCGCCACATCCAGAGCATCTACAATGCCAGTCTCAAGACATATTCTTTCATTACCTTCTTCCTGTTCAGCTTTGCCATTGGCTTTTACTTGCTGCTAAAGGCGCTGGATGTGGACCTCCTGTGGACTCTGGAGAAAGCCAAGAGATGGTGTGAAAGGCCCGAGTGGGTCCTCATTGACAGCACACCCTTTGCCAGTCTCTTCAGGAACATGGGCACCCTCTTTGGCCTGGGCCTGGCTGTCAACTCCAGCATGTACAAGGAGAGTTGCAAGGGCAAACACAGCAAGTGGCTCCCCTTCCGCCTCTGTTGCATCCTGGCCTCCCTGGTCTTCCTGCACCTCTTTGACTCTTTGAAGCCCCCCTCCCAAATTGAGATGATCTTCTACGCACTGTCCTTCTGCAAGAGTGCAGCGGTGCCGCTGGCATCTGCCAGTCTCATCCCTTACTGCCTCTCCAGGGTCTTTGGCCAGCCAGATAAGAAGTCTTTGTAAGGGATGCAGAGTCTTCAGTATTTACAGTCAGTGACTTGTGCCAGAGAATGAAGGGGTCTAAGATTCTCTGCCAGTACATTTGGAAGTCAGAGATGCTGGAGTCCACTCACGTGATCACCTTCCTGGAATTCTACTGGGAGACGTTTTGAGTTTGTGTGTGTGTGTGTATGTGTGTGTGTGTTTAAAAAAAAAGCTACTTGAGAGAGTTTTGACTGTTAAAAGTTGTGTCAGTTGCAGAGCTTTTCCAGAAGACTAATTTTTCTGTCAGATACACAAGACTTCCAGGTAGAACCAGTTCACGGCCCCAGAATAGAGGATTCCAATGGGGAATTTTATAGCTGTGCTCACCCTGACCAAAGAAAGGACAAGGAGTCATGGGATCGATAGGGAAAGAAGGCAGGATGAAGGGAAATTTTCAGTATTCTAAATATGAAAACTCTGTGCCAAACAATATTTAAATGGCTTTAATTATATTTGAATCTTTGGGGAAAGCACTATCAATAAGGTAGCATCAATTTAAAGTATAATGAGCAGGTGGGTAATAAGAATGACACTAATAATAGGTGGTCCTTTCTTACTTTCTTACTTTTATTATTCTGTGGTCATTGTGTTTATCTGGATTTTGGATGGCAGTCATGACCTAGATGCTGCTCTAGATTAGACCATTCAGGGACAATTTCTCTATCATATTTGATCTTCCTCCTCCGTCCAGCTCTGCTCCCCCCAGGATTTTTCACTGACTGCACGCTTGCCTGGCTGAACCATCAGATGTCCCGTGGGCAACTCAGTGGTGATGGTTGAGAGTGTGTGTGTGTGTGTGTGTGTGTGTGTGTGTGTGTGGTTGAAGTTCTGAAATCTTGACAAAGGGGCAAGCAGAGGGTCAAGATTCTTCTTTCCAGAAGGTCACTCCAATATTCTTTTTGATTCCTGGAAAGTATATATGACCCCCTTCTATCTTCCAAGCCAAACAAGAGCGTGTTCTTTGAGGAAAATCCAACTCTTTCTTACTTCTTCTCCAGTGTCACAAGATTTGCAAAAAAATAAGTCCTGGGGTGGGGGGTGGGGGTTAAAAATGCTAAAGTCTATTTATTTGAGAATTTCTGTTTTGCTACTAATTGTATTGTATGCCATCTTTTGCCATTTACACCAACCATCCTGGTCATGATATCTTTAAAAAGAAAAACATACATGTGCAGTATTTTATTAAAGCAACATTTTATTTAAAAAGAAGTCTTGCTGGTTACTATATTTTAGCTATAATTGTGTTCTGAAGGTTCTAGTTCAGGCTCTTTATCCATTTCCCTAAAAAACTAATCTGGTTTCTTTGTTCCTCCATTTGCAAAAGGAAAATGAATATTTTCTGTCTTGAGTTGACCAGAAGTCAAGATTAGGTAGCTTATAAGGTATCCACAGGAGTACACGTCCAGTTGATGAGTTGCTATTTGAAGACAGATAAGTGATATGATTAACAAACCAAGCAATCATGGCACATAAGTCATAGCAGCACAAAAGTGAGCAGACTCTAGAATCCTGTAACCCAGTGACAAGAAAGTTTTAGGGCATTAAAGAAAGTCTAAGCAAGGTAAGGCATAATACAAAGAGATGAATGAATACTCAATGAGAGTATTAATGGTCTCGCTAATGAATTATTCATTTCTTCCTAGATGCAGGGTTCCATCTCCAAAAGCATGTCTTATCAGCATAACCCGGAGCTCCTGATCTGCTAATTCATCCAATGAACTTTGGAATGTGTATATTTAGGGAACAGTGAGTCCTCCTACTAGATTTGAGTACTTCAGAGGGGGACTAGTCCTAAGGGACTGTACTGGTCCCATTAAAGAATAGGAAATGGTCTTGCCTTGTCTGAACCAAACACCATAGCTCAGGTATGACCCATCCTTTTCATGATTGTTTGTCCTTACAGCCCAAGTCTAAGTTCCTTGCAATAAGATTCTATTAGAATATAAATAGTGCCCCTGACTCCTACTAGTTTATGAGGTGGACAAAGACAAATAATAACGGAAAAAATTTATTAAGTGCTTGCTTCTCTACATTTGATTATGCAACAAACTCACAAATTCCCCACAACATGTTTGTAAGGTACTTGCTATGCTTTATTCTTTTCTATTCAAGATGAAGAGGCCCAATGGTGGAACTAGGCAGTCTGACTCCAGAGACCATGACCCTTCTCCGTGCCGTACCCTATGAATGCCAGCAAAATAGGCAGAGATATCAAACCATCCTACAGATACAGTCTTAATTTAGGCCAGGAAGGATTTTGTTTCTTTAGGCCAAAGGCCATTGTAAAACTCAGAGTTCGTAAGTTTGGCGAGTAGGTATTAGTTTCTAAATATGAAACTACTGTATCTCAAAAGTAATCTGACAAAATAATCATTAAAATAGGCATAATCACATCCATTTAACAGCAGTCTAAAGCAATGTTAGCTTTTGTTTTCTCTTGTTATTCTTTCTTGTAAAGGAAGAGTTTATAAGTCACACTCAGGCTATCTGGGTCGGACAGTAAGTAGCTCACCATTTCTAGAATGAGGACAGCAAGAGAAGATAGAATTACCACAAAGCACTTTTAGATCCACATACAATGATCGAAAACAGACACCATGGAAGATTGTTTAGATCCAAAACTCAATAAAGACTGATTTGCTGCCTTCCATTGGTGTGAGCAAAGTCTAGAAACCCACCATGGTGAAGGCTTGGTGTTTGGGATAAGCAAAAATGACCAGAAAAAGTGTCAGCCCCCAGTCAATTAGCAACTTCTAAGACAGTACATTCTGGTCACTAATCTGCTCCTCAAGTTATAGAAACATGTTGGTTTTAAAAAAAAAGCTAACTTCGCATCCGCAGGCTGAAAGCAACGTTAACAGTCAACGGGCAATTTAAACCAAAGCTCATGTCATATATTGTATGTTGGACTGTAATTCTCATGGATTGTTCTAGCAGTCTATAAGTTTTGGGACTGGAGGTGATAGACGTGATACTGCACACACACACACACACACACACACACACACACACATGATTGATAAAGTATCCAAAACCAAACTCACCACCATAAAGTTGATGCCGACTGTCACCCCCCATTGAGTTTCTCTTTTTTTCTCATTTTCTTAAATGAATTTTAATGAAAATTTACAGAGACTTTGGATTTCCATTCATTCATTGTTGCACTTTTCTCCCTGCCTACCCTCCCCCCTCAGTACACTCTTCTCTTTGAAAAGTAAAAGAAAAATTCTTTCATTGTTTTACAATCCCTCCCCCAGGTCCACTCCGCTATGCAATCTTTGTTCTAGACTCCTGTCATGACAATAACACCTAATCACATATCCCTTTTAAACAGTTTCCTCCCTCATTTGTTTCAATGCAGTATACATTATTGAACCCATCTTTCTCAGTCTCCCCCCAACCCTGAGGTCAGTACTGTTTTACAACAGTGGCACCATGCAGTATTTGTCCTTTTGTGACTGATATAGTTCACTCAGCATAATGTCTTCCAGGGTCACCCATTTTGGATAATATTGCAGGAGTTCCTTGTTTTTTAATGCAGCGTAGTATTCCATTGTGTGAATATACCAGAGCTTTTCTATCCATTCGTTTGTTGATGGGCACTTAGGTTGTTTCCAGCTTCTTGCTATTGCGAACAAAGCCACAATAAACATGGGTGTGCATTCCATTGAGTTTCTGAGAGTGTAAATCTTTACAAGAGAAGATAGTCTTTCTCAGTAAGAGCTACTCACAGACACATACCACTGGTAGGTCAGTTGGCAGCTCAACTCATATCATACTATGCCACCAGGGCTTCTTACACCATGCTTGGTAAAATAGAAGATCTGCAACAGAAGAAGAAACCTTTCAATGAAATGGACTTACATAATAAGCTAAAGCAATGAGCTCAAACATAGCAATAATAATTTGCAATAATAGTTTTAATAGAATACTGTAATAAACTGATGATCCCCCAAATTGATGCCAATTATTTAAAAAAAAGCACAACACCCTTATTGCAGTCAAGTCAGAGTCAATTCATAGTTGATATTCCAGCAGGCTAGCAGAGGCTATAAATTGCACAGATTTGGCTAGGCTATAACTGAAGAAGACCTGAAGTGCTTGCTGCAGAAAGTCAAGGATCGTACAATATGGATTGAAGCTCAACATCAAGAAGAAAAAGATTCTTACCACTGGGCCAACTGGCAGCACTATGATACATGGAGAAGAGATTGAGGTTGTTAACAATTACATCTTACTCGGCTTCACAGTCAACACTCTTGGCACCAGAAGTCAGGAAACCAAAAGATGAATTGCATTGGGAAAATCCGCTGTCAAGGACCTCTCCAGAGTGCTGAAAAGCAACGATGTCAGTCTAGAGTCTATGGTGTGCCTAATCCAGGCCATGTTCTTCACAATTACTTGCTATGTGTCAGAGAGCTGGACAATAACTAAGGATGATAGAAGAAGAATCAATACCCTTGAATTGTGGTGCTGGAGAAGAATCTTGAACATGGACTGCCAAGAAAACAAAATAGGTCTGTCTTGGAGAGGGTGAAACCAAGTTTCTCCTTGGAGGCTAGAAAGCTTAGTCTCACATACTTTGGGCACATGGTCAGGAGAGACCATTCTTTGGAGAAGGCCATCATGCTCAGAAGGGTGAAGGGACAGCACAGGAGAGGAAGACCCCGGATGAGATGGATTGATACAGTAATTGGGTCAATGGAGGTTAGTGTGTTGGAATTAGTGAGACTGGCTTAGGACAGGAAAGGGTTCAGAGTTGCTGTACATAGGGTCACTATGGGTTGCAGGTGACTAGATGGCACATAACAACAATAACAACAACATAATTCTCAGTAGTTTGACAGTAACAAGATACGCAATCATCTCCCAAAAGACATCTGATTATCTTCCTTTTGTGATGTATTAAAAATCTGACCCTTCATATAATTAATTGTTGTCTTCAAGATCTGAGCCATGTCCTATCTTGTGTCATCTTC